ACTCGTTTGTTTTAAGTCAGTTTTACTCTGACTGAAATTACTATGCATATATATATATATATATATATATATATATATATATACAGTATATACAGCATATATAAAGTGTTGTTAATGTAAAAAAAAAAAAAAACTCTATTTTGACTGTTTAGTTATCAGATCCCAGTCATAATCCCAGTAAGAGATTTATCTGAAAGGTAAATTTACTCTTATTTATATACAGAAATATAAATATTTACATATTTAATTGCTCATATTTTAATTTAATATATGTCATAATAGCAACACTATGAATTCAAATTAAACAGTTTCACTCAATTAGACTATTGGTTTTAATGAATCCGAAGATGTCTGAAGTGTGCATCTAATTCATAGAAATATTGAATAATAACTCCATTAATTACAATAAATAATGAATTTAAAAAACATTTAACACTATTAACAACATGGCACTCTTACCCCAAGGCTAATTTTATTTTTTTACTTCAAACTGAAACCTATAATTTTTACTCCACAAATCTAAAAATACTGATGTGTCCATATGTCCCTCATAAAAATAAATAGACACAAAATACTTTAATATTTAAAATAATACAGTGTCTTTTCCCCTTGCCTTTATTTATAATTCTCTCTGTTTTAGTTATTAATTGTCTGTGTTTTAGTACATTGTTATGGAAAGAGCGCATTCACAACGTGTCTATATACTAGCATGTAACTAAAAATTCAAGTTAAAATTTGATGCATTTGTGTCATTTTGTGCAGAAGCAAATTAAAGTATTGTGTTTCTTATAGGTCCTATATCTGATTATTCTCATATGTAAAGGATACATTTGGGTGAGCACTGATCAGTTTACTGTGTTCATTCGGTGTTCAGCTTCAGTTCAAGCAGCTCAAAGCGGGTCGACATTATTGACTACGATTGGATTGTTTGAAATAAGGAAAATAATTTTTTGATGCTTTTGCGTTTTTGTTCAGCATTGTTGACGAGATTCTCACTTTTAAATTTGTTCCTTTTCCTTCTGCACATTTACATTTCCACTTCTCCCGTCTTCACTCATGCTGTGTTTACTTCTCTTGATACGGGTCACATCCCAGTTGATGCTCAACAAAAAAAGTTAGGGCAGATGTCGAGAGTAACTAAGTTTGGTTGACATACAAAAGCGAGCGAACCTTCAGCTACGTCTGTGAAGTTCGGGAAGACAGACAGGTACAGCGTTCTCTCACCTTCCTTTTTGATGAGATGGCTGTCAGATGTCTCTGTGCCTCCACTAGTTTACATTTGGAGTCCAAGTCTGCTTCTCACTATAAAGACATCTAAGACTCTTTAATCCTGAAGAAAGTTTCCAGGGGTCAAACAGCATGCGTAAACCTATGACTTTCACAGATACTGGTAAAGTTTACTTACAGGACATGCCAAAAATTCTTCTAATATCTCTCATATTTAAGTTCTACTTGCTGTTTGCATGAGTTCAGTGAACATGTATGCACTCCTGAAAATATATGTCATTCAGTTTTTAAGATTTACACATTTAAATTGCATGACTAATGTTTGTTACAGTGAGCAATCTTTAAATTATCAATATTATGAATTCAGAATAATTAAAATAATCAATAAAAAATGTTAACTTCAGCTATATATTCTGACTATATGTTCTGAGTCAAATTTATTGTGTACAACATATAAATTAGGCCACTGGGTGTAAACCAGTAAACTGGGATAGACCAAGGGTGTAAAACTCAATTCCTGGAGGGCCGGAGCCCTGCTCCAACACATATACCATGTAGTTTTCAAATCTGAAGGACCTGATTAGTTGGATCAGGTGTGTTTAATTAGGGTTGATTCTAAACTCTCCAGGAATTGAGTTTGACACCCCTGGGATAGACATTAGTGAATGGTCACATGGTCATGTGATCTTCCAATGAGATGACCTGCTTCATGTAAAATAAACAGCTTTTATTATAATATATATTTATCATTATTTGGCCAAACTTTTAATGAGGTAAAAATGACTGAGTGCACCGTTAACTTACATCCAAAGGTAATATGATCTCATCTTTGAACAATTAGCTTTGCCTGATAAGACTTCACATCACAGCCTTCATAGCCTTAGGCATTTGCAAACAATACAAAATAAGGCTGGCAATTGATAGTAAACAGCAGGATTGCGATGAGCCTGTGATACACATCAGCTTGAACATTTTTATTTAGTCTCATTTGCAGAAGCCATTAAGTAATAACACTACAAGATAACATGCATCCTTTCAGCAATAAACTTATGGTATTCAAGCATAATAACAATAATGGAGAAATTGCCACGCCATAGTTTTTGTTATTTGCTTTACCAAACTGGAATTATTCTTTATGAGACATGGAGCATAATAAAAAAGAAAATACAAAAACATAAAACAAAAGAAACTATCAGATGCTAAATACAAATACCTTGGCATAAAGACAGCAGAGCTTACAAATTATATTCATAGTCAAATTATATAAAATTAAATGTTTCATTTGATTTTATATATACAATAATATATATACAGTATACTGTGTGTATATATATATATATATTACAATAATTTAAATATGTAATTTAATTTAAATATATTCATATTTTAAATATTGCAATTGCAAAGGATGTATTTCTAATAGTGGGTGGTCTCACAAATACTGTGCATTGAGCTATAGGGAACTCAAACATAGAGAAAATGAAAAATTGGAGAGACTTCTGAAGGAAAACACATTCCAGGAGAAACCAAGGTCAGGGTGAAACATAACAAGAGGAACTGACATGAAAGTCTGCCTTCTACTTCCTCTGAAGACAGACAATATATTTCAGACATTGCTATGTTTCATAGTAATGGGGCATGGGAGTATAGACGCCTCTGTGTGAGGGCTAACGTTTAGAGAGCGTTGCATCATTTGATTCTATAACGTAAGCCATACACGTCTTCTGTTAAAACGCTAAAAAAGAAGGGTATATTATTCTTATTCAAAACCATTCCTCAGATTCATTCGAATAGTGAAAAGAAGCCCCTTTGTGGCCAAAGTTTATGAATATGAGTTAAGAACTACACCTCACAGACAATGCCGCTCAGTATAACGCCCTAAACCATATCTTTAGAGAGCGAGTGCGCAAAGCAAAACACTTATGTCCTCGATTCATAACAGGAGGGAGGAGAGTGGAGTTAAATGAGTCACTGGATGGTGCCACTCTTAGATAATGGCCAAAGCCCACTGTGGGAGAGAGAGGAGAAAAAAGGCCAATAAAGAATTATTAAATGGATTTTCATCTTTCTGCCAGCACAAATGGTTGCTGTGCCAGGCGTTCTCCCAGCAGCACCTGCGGAATGATATTCAACAGTCCCTCCAATTTCAATATGACAATGCCAACAGCAAAAGCATCACGTCCCTCGCCACTGCACCGCAGATACACTGAACTTCGTGACATCGGCTTGATGATCCAGTTTCGGCTGGTTTTTAATTAACCCGAGGGTCAGATCTCAAAGCACAGCACTTTAGGGAATTTTACTATCTAGATGAAGGACGGTTAGCTACATCCACAGATTAGAGATATGGAAGAGATTTAATTGACTATCCTTTATGATACTCCAGAGAGGCGATGAATACGTGCATTTCCGTAATGCTGAAATTGGAAAGTAGCCTGTACGTATTAATGTCAAAACACACACAGAAGTTCACTGCGTAATAATACCGAATGCTCTATTGGAAAAATCGCCTAACTTAACGACGATATTGAATGGTTCCATCAAAGTCAATGCAGATGAAAGCACTTACTGTAGCTCCATTTGATGTTAAATAGACCATCATGAAAGCTGAAATTAGAGGTTTTGTTCTACTGTTTTCCCGCAGTTATTAATCATTTATGCGCAATGTCACGAAAAGTAGAAAGTCAATTGGAATGGATGTATTTCTGTAACACGTCTGTCTCGAGTTCACAGCAGGAGGCAGCCACATATCCTCACCACCGCGGTTCTCCAAAGAGCAAAAGTCCTCCTTGAACGCATTGCAGAAAAACAAATACTGCCTTGATATCATACCGAACACAAACCCTCCAGAGAGGTGTAGCATATCCTGAATGCTCAATGATCTCATTAACCGCTGCCCATCACACAGGGAGGTGGAGGTCAGAAGTACACAACACGGTTGTAACCTTTTGTCTCCTGGCAAAATCAATGACTGCAAATTATATTTAGATTAGATATGGAAAGTGAGACCACTCATCTCGAGTGGCAGCTAAGATAATCATATACACGTGCACTTGGGAAAAAAAAATAAAAAATTGGTGTAGAAACTAATTTCACTCAGAAATTGCTAGTAAATTTCACAAACAATAAATTAAACGTGAAATTTAGAAAAACTGGAATAGCATTTCCTTGTAAAATGCACTCCAATAATCTTTGTTTTGTTTACAACTTTGAAAAGCCAGTGTATGCATCTTCCCATAAAATAAAATTCATGGAAAGCATCCTGAAGCAAACCGTGATTTTCTCTTGCATTTAATGCTCTCGAAACACTCTGATACAACAGTGACTCTGTCAAAATCTCTTTCCCAGCAGACATCAGAGGAACTTTGAAGAGGTGCTGTTAGTGTCGATAGACTTTCCACTTCTTTTATTCTTTCCTTTTTTTCAATGTTAAAGCCCAACCACTGAGTGGCTTTCATTCTGCTTTTGTGTCACAGATGTGACCCACGCTTCTATTCAGTTTCTCCGCAGGGGCACACTCAAATGAGCTCTGTTTTTAACAGCATAATGAAGCTCTCTTCCGCAGCATCATGGGAAGTCCACGTTAAAGGTTGGTGTTTGTAATGGATATGCCACAAAGAGGCTCCGAACGCATCGCAAAATAAATTAATATTACGATTCGGATAAGACGTCAAACATTGCGGCTGGTTCTTTGTTCACACCACCAACATAGAAACGGTAGCCTGGGCTGATATTTGCCATTTGTTATGATATTTTGTTCTTCATCCTGCTAGGTGCAAGTGCAATCTCCATGCCAACAGCTGTGTTTTTGACAAAGGGAAGCTGGGGTGCGAGTGCGAACACAACACCACGGGGCCGGATTGCGCACGCTGCAAGAGACACTACCAGGGCCGAGCATGGAGCATGGGCTCCTACCTGCCCATCCCCAAGGGTACTGCCAATATCTGTGAGTACATCCTGCCATCTCCTTCTCGACATGACTCATGGGAAAGCATAGTGCTCCATCAAGCACCGAAACGTCACCTTTTCAGTCGTGATCCAAATGACATTTTACTTTCAGAGCAACAAAAAAAGGACCAACAATAAGCCTGTAGGCACCACATATTACAGAAACTTGGGTTTTTCTACAGCTCCAAAATGTTTAACTAGTGGCGTATGGCAGGCCTCTGAAATCAGTGTTATTTTAGTATCACTGACATACTATTATATGTTATGTGAATATTTTGAATTAATTTTTTTAGTTTTTAGTAATTTTATTTTTAGTTTTTTGGCTTTTTTATTTATTTATTTATTTTAATATGATATATTTTTAAATATTTAGTTTATTTAGTTTTAGTTATTTTAGTACTTTAAGAAATGTTGCCTTGGCAACAAGCTGAAATAAGTTAAGTTTATTTATTTTATTTTTTATAGGTGGTTTTAGTTTTATTTAGCTAACTATAATAGTTTTAGTTTTAGTTTTAGTTAACAATAATAACCCTGCCTGAAATCAGGACGTAAAGATATAAACAAAAGCAAGTGCATAAAAAACATTTTCAAACATTATTGCATCATCCTCTGAAACTTACAGTTCAATTAAATGGTGTCATTTTGAACATTCTATTCATCAAAGAATCCTAAAAAAAATTACATCGGTAATAAAAAGAAACTAAGCACCAAATCATCATATTAGAATGATTTCTGAAGGATCATGTGACACTGAAGAGTTTAATGACTACTGTAAATTCAGCTTTGCTATCACAGAAATAAATGTTTTATTTCATTTTAATTTTAGTAATATAGTCATTTAATTGTAATAATATTTCACAATATACTCTTTTATTTATGTATTTTTATCAAATACATGCAGCCTTGATGATCATTACAAAGACTTACAAATTCTATACAATAATACTAATAATAATAATAATAATGTAATATAATATAATATATTATAATAAAATATTCTGCATGTCTGTCAATTATTTTCAGTTATTTTATGTTATGAGCTTTTTGTGTGTGTGTGTGTGTGTGTGTGTGTGTGTGTGTACATCAGTTTATGAATGTTCTTTTCTGCATTCTCAACACTGCAGCGATGCATGCGTGATTTCGTATGGCAATGTTAGATTCAGTGTACCTGAAGTGCTTTTGTGTGAGGTGGTTGTGTATGAGTATACATGCTTTTGAAAGCCTTTAATATCGCTCTAGCCTTTCCCCCCGTTATGAAGCCCTTCATAATGTAGGGGCAAAGCTCAGACTGACAGCCAGTTATTAAAAACGCAATACCAGGACACATCTGTGCCCAACAGAGGAAACCAAGGACCACCTATATCAAAAGCAATATAAGCACCTGTTTCGGCAAGAAATCCACAATGCAACAGGCTTGCATATGAAATCCAAATAACATTACTACTCCTGCAGGTTTGGTGAAATCAATAGTCCTCGACTGTTGCATCATTCCCCTTCCCCGCAAATGAGCATGATCGCAGCGACATGCCTCTTCTCCTACGCTGCTCGTATTACATGTGAGGTTATGAAACATATGGCTCTCACATAAAGATAAATTTGCTAAAAGGGATTAATTTAATTAAGCTATAATAGCTTTCATCTGTCATCTGTCATCGTGTCTTCTGCCATGAGCACAAGTGCAATTTATCTCTATGTTAAGTATACAGGACCCTGCTCATGCAGATATATAGCTACATGTGACCTTGCGTCTAATAATTCAGCTGGAAATGAAACCCATGTCTTTGTCTGGTGGGATGGGCTTAGAGAGTCAGGAGGGAACATTTTATGTGAGAGCAAAAGTGTCCTGCTGTGCCTTTACACCAGCACCATACTGTCAGACAGAGTAGAGGAGATTTTGTTTTTGGGTAAACTGGCTTTTAACTAATGGGTTACTGTACATTTTTAGCCACATCAAAATGCTAATCATCGTGGTTGAGAATTGAGAATGTGTTTTAAACTCCAAATTATTTCCTGAGTTTAAATTGGATTTTTAACATTGCATTTAAAATTTATGAAGGGGACAATATATATTCATATACATTTCCCAGTGTATTATTGTGATCATATGCATAACATACCTGTATGTTATTTTCATTAACATTAATAGCAATTACAATTAATGTTATTATTGTACTAATGTAATGCACTAATGTACTTGTTAATGTACTATATAGCTTTGTGGAATTGATCGTATTCGTTCATGCACAAATGTCACTTTAGCATTACATACAGCTGCATTCTTCATATAAACAGCAAATATGCCTGAAATACTTATAATGCATGTGTGCCAGCCTTAACCAGGCAGAACCTTAAGATCTTGATCTTATGTTTGCAGAGGAGGATTGCTCTTGTTGTGTCCCATGTGGAAAGAACAGGTGCTTGAGAAGCAAAGAATTATGTGTGTTTGGTACTTTTGTGATAAATAAGATGTGTGTTGGTTTAATCAATGCACGCTGAGCTCATCTACCAGCTGTCCAGTTCTGCCTGTTTTCCAGGCTTGTCATTCATAGCTCAGGTGAGCAGAATTCCCAATTAGCTTTGAGTCGCTAACGCTGAAATGAAGCCTATGATATGCTGTGAGAGTTGAATGCAAGAATTCAACCACGTCTGAGTCTGAACTCTTTTGGGGCTAAACATAATGTGACAAAAAAAAATAACTGTTAATCGCTGTTGCTAGGTTAAGTATTGTACTAAAAACAATGGAAACTATAATGCAAAAGTTCACCACCTCGGTGGTCTGTGGTTTTGAAGCAATTGCATGCTGAGATATTCAGTGCTGTTATTCTCTGAAAAGTGTCCTATAGACTGACTGCAGTGCAGCACGTAGGTGCATTGGATTGAAATGTCATGCCTGTCATAATAGTTGATGGTTGAAAATAATAATATAACAAAAGAATCTGATGGATAGAAAAGTCAAATCATTTATTAAAATGTGTGCTAACTAACAGCACCACTGATTAGTGAATGATAAATAACATAAAACACTCTGGCAGGCCGCATGTACTCTAGCAGTTAAAAGAATGCTTTTTTATTTACACAATTAATTTTGTAGACAAACGCAAACTGTGCCTATGCATTTAATCACAAAATTAATATTTGTATTTATTTTAAATGTTGGAGGGGATAGTAAAGGAAAAACAGTCAATGAGTATCTGGAACATGCCTGGAAACTTCAATATGTTTTAAAAAATCCCATATACTGCCATTTGTGTGATGAAACAACATACATTAGTTTACATTTAGTCTAAATTTAATGTTTTACAACGTATCCCATAATTTTGTAATGTACTACTGTCCTTGACTTTTAGCCCTGTTTAATTAAAAATATTATTTTTATAATTAAAAATATTATTTAGAAATAAAACCTAACAATTGCTGGAAAAATAAAACGTGTGTGTGTGTGTGAGTGAGTGAGTGAGTGAGTGAGTGAGTGAGTGAATGAATGAATGAATGAATGAATGCATGAATGAATGAATGAAAACCATTTAAATATGAACTACTGGCCCAAAAGTTCAAGAAAAAGAAGAAGAAAAAAACATTGTTGATCCCTGCCAATGCATGTGTGCTTTTTGAAACAAAAAACAGTTTTGTAATTGCCAGTGATGATACTATGGCACACAGAACTGCTTATTACAATCAGAGAGTGGCCAGAATCATATGAGCTGGTGGGATTATGTTTTTTCCTCCATATCTGATGTCTTCACTGCAAACATGAAGCTGTGAAACAAGGTTATCACATATTTATCTGACTTTTTGAAAAGCTTCAGTAAATGTAGTTTAATTGATGCTAGTTCTTTCTTTTTTCCCAGGTATCCCAAACAATCTTGGCACCTCTGGTGAGTTTTTCCACTCATGGCATATTGAACATCATTTGTATTGTATTTGTGTTTTATATAGATAAGGATTCTTTAAAATGTAAAACAGAATTCTATCAAATATTCAAACATACTAATATAAGGTCTGGTGATAAAAGTGACTGAAAGCGAGTTGTGAACACTAGATTATTAAATAATACTGAATAAAAACCAAGAAATAAATCGATTCTTATTTTTCATTTCATCAAGTTCGACCAAATGCTTCATCACTTGGAGCAGCAAACCGAAATCAAGGTAAGACTTTCAGAAATCATCTCATTAATGCCTGTAAAACATCCAACCACAGTTTTTTTTTCCAGCATGAGGATCCAGAGCCTCATACTAACAAAGTGCCTTTGTTTGTATATACTTTGATCTCCACTACGATTTCAGTCTAGCCTCAAATCTCAAATGACTGTCCAAGAAACAGTTTTGAGTGACTCATTGTCTGCAGTTAGGTTGTTATTAGGCTGTTGATGACAAATATATGCTTAGAATCAGAAAGCAAGAACATAAAAAATTTTAATGTTTTCATATTCAAAAACCCATCATGGCAACGAATTGTGATTTGATAGTTGCCAATGCTAGTCAGACGCTGCTAAAATGTATTTTGTCTCTAGCAGATGGATGGTCTCAAAGCTTAAAGATGAACTAAAAGCCACACAACTGTTATTTTGATTTCATTGGGGCTTTAAGAAAAGAGGATTGAAAAAAAATTGAAGGCTTCTCATTTTCAGCACTCCTGCTGATTGTGAGTGAGAGAGAGTGGTCTCTTTTCTGTCAGGACCAGTAGCAGAACAAAACAGAGGATTGTGAGAATCTGTCTGGTTGTTCTGCACCTACATCTTATAGATCCAAACCCTCTGTTAGTAAGCAGCCAGCGGACAGTAGTGTTTAATGATGACCTCCCGGATATCAGGCTCTTCTAATAACCTCTCAAATGTAATTAGTCTCAAGTGTCTGTTTTCTTCCTTTTCATGCAATCGAAGAGAGAAAGAAGTGAGGGGAAAAGATGAGATGGCAGTAGGTTTATGTACACTGATTTCAAAGACTTGATTGATATTAATCTCTTGAGCAAATGAATACAGTAGAGAAACCATCACTCAGACCATAAAAAAAGATTAAATGAAATGCACAGGAAAGAAAAGTGGTGGAAAATATGTGAACTGGACACTGAAATTTGTTTATGAGTTAGAGAGTAGTAAATGCGAATAATCAATCGGGAAAAAAAGACTTTATGATATATAGGAATATGAGCAGAAGGCACAATATTCTGTTGTGATTGTTAATGAACTTTTCTTTATTTTATTCTAAACAAGTGGTTTTCAAATGGTGGGTAACAGCCTGAAAATTTATTACTGGTCTGTTCCCTTAAGAAAGAAAACAATGCTAAATAGATTTAAGCTAACTAACACTATAGATGTGCATTGTTCAGATAAATAGGCTTATACAGTCTATACTACGGTATTTTGTCAAAATAAATCAGACACGGGTCACGACGAGGCGTTCCCCATAGCGCCCCCTAGAGGACGCAGTTCGAAGTTCCCATGAAAGGGAACTACAATCGGTGATAATGTAATATATAATGTTTGTAAAATGGATGATTAAGTTGAGATTTGCTAAACATTACATTTAACCCTAAACCTAATAAGAAATAATTTTCTGTTTACTTTTCTAAAATGAGCAATTTTGGTACTGCGTTTGGGACTGAGATAATTCCATATTAGGTAATCAATAATTACTAAATGAGATTAAACTCATTAAGAACGACTAAATAACTATGACATGTTAGAAATATTACCATCAATGACTACATTAATTGCTACATAATGACAACATTAACATTTCTGATATGTGAGCAAAACTTTGAACATGGTCATAAAATGCATCACTAATTACTCAAGTGTTACTTAGGTACTCTGCAGGAACTACTAGTGATCTGGACCATTATTTTAAATAAATTCATTAGTGATGTCAAATGATTAATCGCGATTAATCGCATCCAAAATAAAAGTTTTTGTTTATTTTGGATGTGATTAATCGCGATTAATCATTTGACAGCACTAAAATTCATTCATTCATTCATTCATTCATTCGTTCATGTATTATTTGTTTATTTATTTGTTTGTTTGTTTAGGTCCAGATCACTAGTGGTTCCTGCAGAGTAACAGGTAACACTTGAGTAACTAGCAGTGTTGGGGAAAGTTACTTTTAAAAGTAATGCATTACAATATTGCGTTACTCCCTAAAAAAAGTAACTAATTACGTTACTTAGTTACTTTTTATGGAAAGTAATGCAAAAATTAATTTTGCGTTACTTTCGCGTTACTTTTTAAATATGAGCAGGGCTTGATTGTTTTTAATATAAGAAGTTCTATTTATAGCAAATATAAAAGCCCTTTCACACGAAAAGGACGCAGGAAAATACATAAAGGGCATTTGTGTTATTTAACATTTAATTATTGCAGGTTTGTGTCATATTCTGAGTTTGCATTTCACTGTTTTAATTCATTTTGATGAATACTAAATCTATTTTTTTGCGAGTGGGATGAATTAATGCACATTCACGTTTAGTCTAGAACTACAGTAACATCATGTTTACACAGCGCACACAACGCCTCTGTACTTCCGATTTCTCCCAATATGGGGACAGGAGACTTGTCAGTCAATAATGGGAAAACAAAGTAACTGGCATTACTTTTTTGAAAAAGTAACTAATATTTTCTTGTAAATTAAAAAAGTAATGCTTTACTTTACTAGTTACTTGAAAAAAGTAATCTGATTACGTATCTCGCGTTACTTGTAATGCGTTACCCCCAACACTGGTAACTAGTGGTGCATTTTATGACCATGTTCACAATAAAACAGACAATTGTTCACGTCTAGGACACATTAATGTTGTGTTTAGTAATTACTTGTTAATTCTTTATCATTTTTTTAGTTATTTAATAGTTCTTCATGAGTTTAATTTAGTATTTAGTAATTACTGATTACCTAATAAAGAATTATCTCAGTCCTATATTTACTGATTAGTTTATCCTGTTTCCATATTCATTAATAGTAGTTCCTGAAGAGTTACTGTAGTACTATTCATTGGTCCTGAATTACTTCCTGCGTAGTTACGTATTAATCACTCACCATTATTCTAAAGTATTACCACTAAACTGAAGATCTTTAGTCTCATCCATAAAACACCACTTTGAGATTGTTCATCTCAATAAGGAAAACTGAAACCTGACCTGTCAGGGAACGAATAGATCTGTCGTATGCATGCGTCACTATTGCTCAAGTCAGGAGCTGCCTGTTCTGTTCCGTTAGCGTGTGAAAAAGTCACTGTACCCGACGAAGATGCGATACAGCACATATGCCCCCAAGGGAAAGACAGACCTCGGCCAGGGTTCACACCTCAGTTTTTTTCTGAGGTCAGAAGGTAAAGCACAACACAAGTGCAAATGCAATCTACGTCACTGTACACTACATGTGAAGGATGACCTTGCACGTCTTTCACGATGAAAATGAAGACCGGGACAGATGCGAGTGTCTGTGTGTTCAATGCTCCCTCAGTGCACATGTACATATTTGAAGAAAGAATCAGTCAAAGGAGCAGCAGCAGCAGGTCTGTCTTCTGGGTACACTTGAACCGCACCCTTTGCTCCAATCTAATCTTGGGTACAGATGCTCATGGAAAGACAATAGCTCTGTAGGGTCCTCTGGAGGCCTGTCAGCATTTGGATAATCCCATACACAGTGAACAAAGTAAACTCCAAGCCTGGAGATATAAAGTTTATATCCCAGCAAAATCTTTCCAGAGTTGACGCTCAAAATGGACACTGGGCTTTTCTGAAAGCTCCAGTTAAACCATGCCAGATGGTCTTTTCGTGCAGAGATATGATTTAAAAAAGTGATATTTCAGTGTTAAAATTGCCCTCAGCACTTAAAATGCTTAAAAGTCTCTTTTGAAGTGATGCGTTTCTGTTTATTTGTACTGTATAACAGTAGAATTGCCGTAATAGTGCAGAAAAACTGTCTATATTTAAACTATGGAAAAGCAGAGAGAAAATTATAAAATGAGCTCTCCTAAAATGCTATTTAAAACAATAATCTGACATGAATTCAATCTTGAACAGATTCATTTGTCAAAGCTATTACTCCTCTGCCTGCTTTCTGTCATTAACGACAGTTCTTGATTGTTGAAGCAACATGGCTCGAACGATGACTGTGCGACAAAGTTAAAGCGGTTTTGGTATGTAACAGTTATGACTAGCTAGTTAAATTCTCCATCAATGCAGTGTTGGCAATGTTAGTTATGTGGCGAGTTGGCAACCGCACCTCAGTCAGGCTGGTTTTAGAGGGTCAGCTATGAAAATTAAACCAGTTAAACACTAGTTTGGCCAGGCTGGGAGACCATCGTAAACCAGCTAAGACCTAAGTTTAGGCTGGTTTAAGTGGGGGTTTTAGTAGGGCTATTGCTCATAGCTGGTTTTCTTCAGATTTATTCTGTCCCCACTTCTCAGAGGACCTAGATGAAATCCATCTGAATGAAGAAAGCAGCATGTAATTACTCCGTTTCTGAGCAAATAGTCCTGTCTCTCCTCCCAAAGCAAATATTTTCCTCAATAATGGAAGCTAGTACAATGCAATAGCAATCATCTTTTTTTCCACTAAAGAGCTTGTTTACAGGTCAAGGGAAGGGAGATTAGAGCGATTTGGACTGGATTGGCACCATGACATACATTTCATTGCACACCGCTTTCCTGTTTGTCTTGAATTTGAACTTGAATCTTAATTATATGGCATTTATTTTTCATTTCACACTGATTAGATTATGGATCCAACTTCAGAAGTGTCAAAGCATTGTTTAAAGGTTCATTTAACAGTAGGTGTTGACTGAGTTAGCTGTAACCTTCACATGCTAAAACGCACTAATCACCTGGAGTTACCAGCAGTGCAGCATCAACTTAGTCTCACAAGAAAACATAACTATTTTACGAGGTGATTATTTTGTATGATTTTTAGAAGAAAAAAAAAAAAGTCAAATTTATATTAATTATCCACCAATTTGCCAAAATGTAAAATAATTACGAATTACCATGAGATTATGTTGGCAGAATTTGGACTTTCACCAGTAGCTTCATGCCAGAGATTTGCCAAAAGTCAGCAGTGATGTTTTCAGTTTTGGTCACACACTGAAAAATGTCACACAAAGATATATTTCCTGCCCCAAATCCCACCTCTCACTCTATGATTAATCATATCCCTTCTGCAATATTACAGTGGGACTAACATCCCCTGTGGTGTCCTTAAAAGTCACCGCTGAGCCTCTTGCCAGCGCCCATCATAAACAATCACACAAACAGCAACCTGATGATCATCTTGATGGATGCACTTTTTTCCCTGGAAAGTGTTTCCTGGCAGGGGGAGGAAAGCGATGCGTGTTCACCTCTCTTTTTCTCTGCTCCCCACAGCTCGAGTGTGTGACAACGTGCTCCTGCGCTGTCAGAACGGTGGCGTGTGTCACCACCACCAGCGCTGCCAGTGTCTGGCCGGTTTTGGTGGCGTACTGTGCGAGACGGCCCAATGCCAGGGTGACTCTTGCGAGGATCTGCAATCCAGCCAGCTGTCCCTCCGCCCCCTGCCCGTGGCCCAGACTCTCCCGCTGACTCTTCTATCTCTCATCCCCTCCCTGCTGGCCACCCGGGGCCTTACATCACTCTGAGGGGAACGCTTTTGCCCCAAAGACATTCTCCACGGGGGCTCCAATCATGACTTCCTGTTAGAGGACACACAATGACTGAAAAGAAATGCTCCCTTGATGTGGAAGAAAAAAATTCAACTTCCTTTTAGGAAACCGTAAAGTTTTCTACTCGGTACTATGTCAATTAAAGTTTGCCAGAGATGATGGATAAACTGGAAATTTGCAAAAAAACAAAACAAAAAAAAAACAAGAACAACATAAAAAAGCTGACACTAATGACCGTCTTTGTTTGTTGAATTAGAAAGAAATCAAATCAATACACTGTTACACTGCTCTGAAGCCATCCGTCAGATAAGACTTTATCTCAAGCCTCAGAGCACAGAAACACTGCAATACAATTGTTTTTCGAGACAAATCATCGATGTGAAGATGAATCAAGATGTACTCTTAGACTGCCACCTGAATTTACACACACACCACCATGACTAGTTCTCAAACTTCTCACATTTAACCTTTTCCTGACCCTCTCTCTTCTTCTTGTAACTCTGTGAAGTCATGTAAAAGACCCATGATGTATGTCACACAAGAATTGATCCAGATTATCAGTCAGAGCTGGTGTAAGCAGGGCCGCATTAAAACCTTACTGGGCCCTGGGGCAATGACTTACTGCAGGGCCCCCTATTACAAATATAATATATATATAGCTTTAAATAGGATTTTTATCCTATCAAAATTCTGATGCATTGAAATTTAATAATTCGTTACCAATTTCAATATTAAAAAAATAAAATAAAAATAAAAAATACTAGCCTAAGTAAAAACAAGCTTATACTTAAGACAAGTAAACAGCCACAAATTACAAAAAAAAATAGACCTACTTGAAACACTTAAATCACTGAATAATAAATGATATTGTATAAAATAAATGTACAAATAAACTGAATAGTCTTCACTGTATAAATTCAATGCACGTTCATTCTTATTTATTTTACAAAAGTAATTCGGTCAAGGACAGTGAGTGATTTTCTTTCTAATGTTTGATTAACATTATTGACAAATTTTAATAGCAGCTAAATTAAGATGCTTTAGAGGAATAGCTCACCCAAAAATTAAAGGTCTGTTGTTGTTCTAAACCTGTATGAGTTTCCTTCTGCTGTTGAATGTAAAAGTATATATTTGGAACAATACTGGTAACCCAACAGTTGCTGCCTGGGCCCCCATGACTTCCATAGTATGAAAACCAAAATACACTACTGGAGTCAATGGGGACCAGAAACTTTCTAGTTACGAACATTCTTCAAAATATCTTCTTTTATGTTGAGGAGAACAAAGAAATTCATACAGGTTTAGAACAACATGAGGCTGAGTAAATGATGACAGTATTTTTATTTTTGGGTGAACTATCCCTTTAAAATCTCATCATATTAGGATCTCATATAGCCTACTACTACACACGATTTATATTTAAATATTAACGTTCATTTAAGACACAAATGACTGTGTTGACGAGGAGACATTGACACATAACTGTGCATTTGAACGTTTAAGCAGAAGGCGCGAAAAATAACTCAAGACTGGCGCTGTACTAGCAGGTGCATGCCACGCGAATCAGGCCGTGCCCGTCTTAATGCGCGCATTTGCCAAAATTAATTCTGCCCCACTGCTTAATGTCCCTGAACAGTTAAATTAGTTTTTAAACCACAATGCTTAAAATGCGTTTAAATGAAAAGCTTAACCTACATCATGCCGCGCAAAACGATTGATATATTTCTACCGGTTTATCTCTCAACCCATAAGCGAATATACTTTGTTCAAACACAAAAAGCAATATACATCCATCAAGTTGTTAACTTGTTAATCAAACTAACCTAAAATCTGTGGGGACGATGACGCTGTGATTTTATCTGCTCCATGTGCCCGGTCCACTTGCTGTTTCACAACTACTCCATCATCAGCTTAAGTAAAATAACCTGATAGCTGGGGATTTTACTGACTCACTAACTACTGTTTTCCCCTCTCTCCTCATTTTTTTTTTTTTTTTAGAATAGCCCCTCTCTCGCTTTCTTTTTAGAATAGTTTACATTTTACTTAACGACTTATCGGCGCTGCCGATGACCAGTCAATCTACTCCACAGCCAATCACGGGCCCCCTCCTTGTCCGGGCCCCGGGGCTGCCCGCCTAGCCCAATGGTTAATGCGGCCCTGGGTGTAAGATCAAATATACAGTAACATGAGAGACAACTGTTGACATTTTGTACTGGGATATTTTCATGACAATGAGAATTAGAACAAGAAGAAAGTCCCTGATCAACATTGTGACTTTTCGCATCGCTGCAACAACCTGTAGAATTTGGGTTGATACTTTAATTATTGCCCTGATGGAGTTGTATGTTCCTGTTTAGTTGCTAATCGTTTTGCTTAAAACATACGTTTACATTCTCACCGACCGAACTGTATGAAAGGTTTCACCAAAGGGCTTCGGTGAGGAATCCTTTGTTGCTTGAAGCCAACTATGTTTGTGAATTAAAGATGAAAAAAAAGAACATTTTATTGCCATTTTGTGAAAGCAAATCTTCAAAGATAGCTGTTCATGTGTGTTCTCAGAAGTTCAGGCATATTTTCAAAGCTCTTAGCAACCGTTTTAGAAATCCCACAAATTGCAGGTGTATGGAATTTAGCAGTCAGCGTTCTCCCAAACATTACGATTGTTAAGAAAGGTGTACAAATGCTAGAAACGTTTATCTGCCAAAGTATGCACACTTTGAACTCAAAATTGAAAATTGACCACAAAATGTATATACTGTAGATGAAAGACATGTTCAAGCCTCATTATGTCAGTTCTGAAATAGGAATTTAAACATGATGGGCCTCATAGACAGATTCTGTTCAGACTTAGTAATTAGCTAATATACAGTAAAGACTGATATACCTGTCAGCCGGTCATAATCACAAAATAAACCCCATCAGGGTGATCAGAGAGTATGAACACTTGACAGTATCATTATCCTGCTTATTAGATGGCAACTTACCAAACTGAAACATTGCAACTATACTGTTGCAATGTTTGTACTTTGTAAACAGCCCGATAACATATGCACTGTCACTAAAAAGTCTGGGATCAGAACGATTTAAAAAAAAAGAAAATAATACTTAATTAATGCTCTAATTCAGCAAGAATGCAATAAATTGATCAAAAGTGACAGTAAAGACATTTATAATGTTACAGAGGATTTCTATTTGAAATATATCAGTAAAGTTTCTGAAGGATAATGCGACTCTTAAGACTGAAGTAATGGCTACTGGAATTTCAGCTTTGGCATTACAGGAATAAATTACATTTTAAGATATATTAAAATAAAAAACAATGATTTAAAATTCGAATAATATTTCAAAATATTTTTGATCAAATAAATGCAATTGGTCAGCCTTAGTGACTTCTTTCAAAAGCATTTTAAAAAATCGTATTTACCCCAAACTTTTGAATGGTAGTCTGTCATATAGTGTATATTATATCAATATATACTGTATTTCGCAAATATCTTTAGCTCTATTTTAAGTTCTGTCTCTGTATGAGTAAATGATTGGGTAAACTATCTCTTTGTTGTACCTATTTATCAATTACTGAATGACATTCCTGTAGCTCAAACATGATACTAGCAACACCAAGGTCATAGGTTCAATTGCATGAACTGGTAAAATTTAGAAACCTTCAAATGCATTGTAAGGCACTTTGGATAAAAACGTGTGCCAAATGAATAAATGTTAATGTAAATGACACTATTACTCAGTAGCTGGTACTCTATAGTCAAGGCATAATTTCTGAAAGCTCAAATTTCAACTGAAATGTATTCCTAAAAATAGTACTAACAGGGCTGGATCTGAAGACACGGCAATAAAACATTTCCAGCAGAGGCTGAAATCAAATGTAAATCACAAAACGAATGAGTAAGAGAGGTGTGTTGACGAAATATGGATTGGAGAATGTCACTCACTGCGAGGCATAACACGCAGTCGTGATACGGCAATCATTTTCAAGTCCACGCTGGGTACTCAAATGGAAATGAAGTCATTATGTGCCTGTGACACACGGTGAAAGCGGGTCTGAGGCTGGATAGATTACATTAGTGAGATTAGGCCTCTTCATTTCAATCAAATGAAATCCTCTATCGCCCTTGATCTTAATAACTTTTCTCCCAAAAGACAAGTACAAGTGAAGATGTCATTTTATTTTGAGAAATAACTGCCATGTCCATTTACTCCATTGTAAATTCTTTTGATGATTAGGTCCAGGTTGACCATATTTGTTCGACTCATTTCATTCAGCCTAATAGATGCAGTCGAATAATTAGAAACACTTTGCACTTCCAAGATGGAAATTTAAGATTGGCCAGATAAATGAGTATAAACATTGCACCGAATTCATTGAAAAGACAAGCTCATTAGGTTTAGATGCAAATGCTGTCAGAATGCTAATGAGTCTGTAATGAGACAGTGCAAACTCCCCCCAGCAAACACCACCTCTATTTCTGATGGACATCAGGGGTCAATGAGGGTACATGCCTCATACTTTACAATAATAACTGGATGCTCTTTACAAAACAGCTTCTTTTTCAACCGAGACTATTGTTATACATTTTAGCAGCTATTTTTACACAATGTGTCCCTGATTGTGCATTTCGAAAGCTCTGCATACTAAAAAGGTGAAACAATTCTTTGACTTTCCCTCAAGCTGGGAATGAATCCTGAGGCTATTAGTTGTCACCTGTTGGAAACTATGGAAACATGAGTTTATACACAAACTCTAGATGAATAATTTTACAGTGCTATTTCAAAACTACAGTACATGAAAGGCCCCTGAGATTGTGAAATCTCTTTCAGTACGGTCTTCATAACATCACTGTGGGATTATAAATGGTTTAGAAAAATAATGGATTATTCTCAAGGTCCATTTTTCAAAGCGGCAGAACAGCATGAGGAGCTTCCCACTTGAGACTGTCCCTGACAATGTTACTAGGCCAAGATGTCCCACACCTGAGATGAGAACATAAGGTACATTTCAGCAAGGCTGTAAACCATCTTTT